CACCAGAGGGCGCAAATATCATCGTGAACTTATGCCTATTTTTGAGGTTGCAGAGGATTGGCTCCTGACGCTTTGTGAAGAAACCTAGCCACATTATGATTTGATTTTTTTTTTGTAGCATATAGAAGGTTCATTCTAGGGCGGATACTATCTGAAAATCTTGAACAAGCAGTATAAATATTTTTTTTTCGTCAGCTAATAATGCTATATTCAAATACATTTTTGAAACTTTTTTTTTTCGAATTTTGAAAAATGAGATAGTATCCGCCCTAATTTGAACCTTTGTCTATATGATGGCGTTTAAAAATGTACTGTATGCCAAACTGTTTTCCCATAAAGCGTCAGGAGCGAGAGCGCTGTATTCCTCATTTTTCCAGTCCTATTGCCCACTCTTAAGCGTGGTACATATCCGTACACTAAATGCCATTTTAGTTATTTGAGTTAAAACTTATGCCCTTTGGCTAAAGCCTCGGGATATAATCTTGGTCCCTGGATAATAATGATAATCTTTACTACCTTGGTGTTTGAATAATTAGTATATGTATATTTTCTGACGGCGCTCATGACTAATCCTGCACTAATAGTACTATCTTTTATCTCTTACCTATTAATAATAAAAAATTCATGTAATTATCAAAACCGTTTAACGAATTGATGCAATGTTGTAAAGATAAAATTTCATATCCGTCAGCTATAAATTATTATTTTCGTGCAGATAAGTCGAAAATGGGATAGATATTCTCGAGTATGCCATAAGAACGATGAATGAGTTAGTGGAATGTTGGAGAATAGTGATTACATCTGGTGGGTACTGTGTTTGCTGAGTTGATATTCATATTGGGTGTCCAATAGTTAGTGCAATAGTTGTTTTTCTATTTTGCGTTTTCAATGAAGTCAAATGAGTCTCGAAAAAGCTTCTATTACGACACGCTGAATTTCTTGTTTCAAAGTTGGTAATGGTAACGTCAACGTCAAACTGTCAGACTAGCGTCTAGATACAGAACGCAACAAATAACTATAATATTAAAGGTATCTTGAGCTTTTATAACCTATCAAATTTGCTGGTTAGGTACTTTTCCCAGATAACACAGGATATCCTATGGATATCCTTCTCAAGTCCATTTCAGGTCGGGATATCCTGGGACATGAAATGGATATCCATAGGATATCCGTCAGAGGATATCAAATGGATATTCTGATGCGGATCACCTCTGGACGTCCATAAGATGTTCGTTTAGCGAACAAAAATTGTTAATTGAGAATGGTTCAAAACAATACGAATCATCACAAATATCACATGCAAATCACATGTTTATTAGAAATTCAAAGGTAGTTTTCCATCATATAACTATTGTTATGTAGGTATAATATGTTTATAGCCACAATTAAGATATCCGATGCAAATATGAATTCATATAAATAACAACACCACAGTTTGGAATTTTTCTCTGTTGTTCAATGTTTTCGTACAAAAATATACAATCACTCGAAAATAGCTCTCATATATTTACTTTTTTGTGGTCTTCAGATGGACATCCATGAGATATTCATCCATGGATTTATAGCGGATATCCATCAGAAGATATCTTATGGATAGCCATAAGATATCCAAAGAAAACATAAAATCATATTTATGTCAAAATAACTTCTGTTCTTCAACATTTTCGCACAAAAATATGATTTTTCAGAAATAACTTGTATCTCCATTTTTTTCCTTGGGATTGAGATGGAGATCCATAAGAAGATATTTATATTCGCGTATATTCGCATCCCTGAATTCAAAACTGGGTAGGTATTTTCCCAATGGATAGTAATAAAATATTCTGAAGCAATAAAATATAAATCAATATGGCATTCGCGTGAATGACAAATTTTCCAAAAGAAAGATGGAAAAATCTAAGTGAATCTAAGTTTTATATTCACATCATAACAGTATTCCTTTATTTCCTTTGTTTAATTCTCTTATAGTGACCTGTTTTATTTTTTGTTATTTGCAAATGCAATTAGAATATTTATTATTTTATACTTTGTTGAATGTATACTCTTGTTTTTTTATATATAAAAAATTTTATTTAGTTTGATTTATATTCACATTATAATATTTGTTATTCGGTTTGCAACAATTGAATAAATTTTATTTTTTTACATACTCCTACCTGGTGATTTTTTAAGGTGGTTCACTCCTATAACTTTTTCATTATTGTAGGTAGTAAAACGTCAATTGGGGTCATGAATTATAGTTCATTTTATATGATTCGACATATCTACTTGCTTTACCGCACTTTTGGTTTAACCGAGGATGGCATTTTCAAACGGGACACCCTGTATTTTATTCCATAATCGGTTAAGCATTATCATAACGAATTCAACGATACTGTGTTTGATAGGATTTCTACAAACGATTAGGAAGATATTCACATTTCCATATATCCTCAATGAGCATATGAAAACTTCGAATGCAAATATCTTCGTAATCGTTTGAAATAACCCTATCCAATCCGGTACCGTTGAATTCGTTATAATAGTTCCTAATTCATTATGAAATAATATACATGGTGTTCTATATTGTTAAGGATATTTAGTAAATATCCCTGAAAAATATCTCATGGATATTTGTGAACAATATCTTATGGATATCCCTGAAAAATGTCTTATGGATATTTGTGAACAATATCTTATGGATATCCCTGAAAAATGTCTTATGGATGTCCCTGAAGGATATCCTATAGAAGTCCAACTCCTTCCACTCGGCACGTCCAATGGACGTCCATAAGATATACATCGGATATCACTGGATATTCTCTGGATATCCCAAATATCCTAAATGGACGTCCAATGGATGTCCATCGAATGTCCGTGTGTTGACTGGGTTGTTGGGCTGCTGTTGAGATGAAATAATGCTCATTAGTCTGATTATATTCGAGTTATTGTTTGTGCAATGGGACTGTGAGGTAGAGACATTAGAGTGTGTTGTAGAAGTTGAAGGCTGAGAAACATTTGAGCTAACTAGTGCCCACCTCAATTTTTCTATCCACAGAAGCTTATAATATGCGACCTTCAGCAACTGCTGAGGATTTCACCGCCTCTATTTGCTAAATGTGCGTCCCATGCACACGCCGAAAACAATCTTTTGTAAAAATCTCAGGATTTGGTAATTCAAGATATTCTGCAATGATTCTTGGCATTTGACCAATTGTGTTAATTATATTTATGTAGCAACCATTACGGTATATAGGTCAATAAGAAACGTTTACTTTTACATTTTGTGGTGGTATATTTCGCCAGTTTGACACCATACTTGGAAATTTTATTATTTTTCATAAGCTGGACGAGGATTCGTGGGCAACAAATCATTTATAGCCGTTTGGGCAAATTCCCTCACTTCAGGTGGGTTGCAACTTATGTTTGCCCCTTCAGCTATTCTCAAAATAGGATATTCAGAATTTTGATGGGCTAATAATTTCAAGTTATATCGCTGGAATAATGATGAGAATTTGAATATTTTTTCTACAATCTGTCAATATGGGGATTGAACATTCACATGTTTTTTCATTGCTACCAACTATATTCACTTCATATCTTTCTAATATCTGATGTTTTTATTGATGATTTTTCAAATAAATAAGCACAAATTAATGCAAAATAGAAAAAATAGTATATTATTCTATTTACCAACTAGTATTGATGAGGGGGATTGTTGATCGAGATATTTCAAAGTACGAACAAAGCGAGCCTTTCAATATTCGTAATCGCCTTATTAATATACGAGGTAATGCGAATTTTAACGCCCAAGTCGAATTACAAAATAAATTATTATTAAAAGTTTTTTACATATGATTCCGACTTTATGAGTGACACTGTATATATTATTATTCAATCTGAGGTAATCTATGAAGTGTCAGAATCAATGAACTCAATATAAAGACCTGGAAGGGACACTCTGTAAATGACGAGTGAGGCAAAAATATTGTTCAGGCAACCCGCAGTGTTTACGGATACCTATCTCTTTCTATCTTATGTTGGCTAATGGGAAGCGCTCGCATTATTTGAAATATTTTCTTGTTTTCTGCTTTTTTTCGAGAGCTCGTTCGAGAGTATGCGTGATTAAATATAAATATTCATTTAGGAAAAAGGATAATGTTGCAATCAATTATTATTTGAAAATAATTATCGATTTGTTTGTTGACTCAAAAGTGAAATTCCATTTTTATTCATACAGGATTGTCAGGATTAGGAAGGTAAATTAATGCAAAATTGAAATTATGTACTCTCATTCAAATGTCACGATATATTGTACAGGGTGAGCGAAGCTCAATGTCTCAGCACTATCAAAAACAATAGAAAAACGGTAGAAAAAATTTGAAAAGAGGTTCTTGAATGGTATCCAGTATCTAAGGTCAATTATATGCCTAACTTTTAGGAGTACCTATTCCATAAACATTTCACTATTATAAGGTGAATGAAAGGTGGATAAAAAGTGAATAAAAGTACAATATCAGGACGAACTTCTTCATTAAAGATGAATATCTGCGTCGCTCAGAATGTACACCTTCATTTTTTCCTTTCTGGAGAAGAATAAGCTCCGAAGGCTCACACCATCAAATTGAGTCATTTCGAAGAAACAAAACACGCCAAATTTAGCGATATTTCACATAACAAAAAACAATAAAGTGCTGTCTTCAGTTATTCGCCTGTTGAGATGAAAAAAAAGAAAAATGATCAGATAAACGAGGAACTACAGACTGACAAATTTCACCAGCTGATTAACTGCTGCTGATTACTGATGAAAACCATGAAAACGTGTCCCGAATTACAGCACTGTATTTTTGATTTTATATTTCGGAACACAGACAGTACTGATCAGTTGAATTCGGAATATAGCCACACTCTGTGCTATTCGAGAAATCGGCAGTCTCCCTTACAGGTGTTTATATTGAGTTCATTGATCTTGTTAATCTGTGGTAGTAGTGTGCCCTTAATACTCGTAGTTATTCTTCTAGGCGACCTGTACCAGAGGCAACCGCTGCTGCCGGGCGGCGCAGGCAGCAAAGCGGAGAAGTGGGGCGGCCATTCGGGCGCTGCCGCCGCCGAATTCTACGACGACGACGACGACGTCGATGGTGCGTCGAAGGGCGTCGACAGGAACGGCCACATCGCCATCGAGCTGCCGTCGCCGGTACGGGAGGAACCGAGGTTCCCGCAGGAGCGGTGCAAAACTATGCTAGGTGAGTGGTGAGTGTGGTATCAGATTCGTAGTGTATTTCTTCTTCTTCGTCTTCTTCTCCTTTATTCATTCATTCTTTAATTCTTTCGTTTATGCATTCTTTCGTTCGTTCGTTCGTTTGTTCGTTCGTTCGTTTGTTCGTTCGTTCGTTCATTCTTTCTCCATTCAATTATTCATTCATGCATCCATCCATCCGTTCATTCATTCGTTCGTTCGTTCGTTCGTTCATTCATTAGTTCATTTGTTGATACGTTCATTGATTTGTTCATTGATTCGTTCATTGATTCATTCATTCATTTATTCTTGCATTCATTCATTCATTCATTTGTGATTCTAGGCCTCGATTCAGAAGCGGATTTGTGTAATGGGGGAGACCGCTGATTTTTGATTCGAAATTATCGTGAGCTCTATACCAAAATACTACCAATCAATCAATCAATCAATCAAAAATATACTTTTTTCTGTGACGGGAAAAAAGTTTGGCATTTCATCTCTGTTGGCAGGTTATAAAATGTCACTTTTCATAAATTACTTTTTTCCCGTGGGAAAAAAGTGAGTACTTCTTTCCCGGATATATATCACATATATATATACTCTGTTAATGGCTTTTGTTGTGCTATAGTTCCAAAAAATGAGTCAATAATACCGTCTCCGAGAAAGAACTGCAAGTCCTTTTATCTTCCATTCGACTTCGCGGTTTCGTATATTACTAAACAACTACTGAATTCGCAATTTTTCAAAATCAAATCACAGAATTGAACTGACAGAAGTGACATCAGATATTTGATTACTTCAAAAGAATGATAAAGATGCCTATAAAACGCAGGTGTCCCTACTGTTAAATACTTGAAATTTCACGTCGATAATTTTCAGATTTCGAAATAATGTAATATCTTCTCAATATTGATTCGTCCATCCTTCTGTCACAGAAAAAAATAGTGTATTATACACGGGAAAAATATTAGATTTTAGCTCACGGTTTTTTGTCTCCCTCCGCTACGCGTCGGGAGACAACAAAACCTGGAGCTAAAATCTACTACTTTTTTCCCTTGTATAATAAATAACTATTATTGTCGAAGATTTCAATCTTATTGACAAAGCATGTTTCAGTAAATTATATAATATAGTATAATATAGAACATAACAGATGCAAACGAATACAATTAAAATAAGAGACATGTTAAAAAGAAACAATATATATATCACCAAAATGGAATTTTGGAGAGTCGTCAACTTGCAACTATCTCATATAGATATATATATATGAATATAATTTTGATTTTTTTCATTTATACTTGGACGATGAGAAAATAAATGAAAGTATGTTTATTTCAAAACACACACTTTCTGCGCCATTTGAGATGGTGACAATTCATTGGTGTGACTGGTATGTGTGGTGTCCCAACACGCCTATTGCCCTTGAGCTGACCAATCACACTGCAGACTAGGATAGATAGATAGATAGATAGATAGATATCCTTTATTAGTTCCTTTAAAATAACTTTTTAGGTGTAGAACATGTCAATATGATCAAGTTTATAATAATAAAAATAATAAAAATAATAAAAATAATAATAATAATAATAATAATAATAATAATAATAATAATAATAATAATAAAAACAATGAATTGAAATCATGAATATCATACCTACATTAAAAACAGAATTGGTGATGAATCACTCATTGTCTATATCTAAAGGAAAAAAAAATTGGATAAGAGTGTTATCACAGTCATAAAATCACTATAACTTATATATAAAATGAAACAGTGTGCTAGAAATTAATAAATATCTACTCTAATGTATCTGTGAAATACTCGTCAAGTGTATAATATGCTTTTTTGAAAAGCAGGTTTTTTAATTCAATTTTCAGCTTCCTAATGGGCTGGCTGTGTTCTCAATGATTCGGGTAATTGGTTATATATGTTGATCAATGAGAAGGGAATATTTTTTTGTATATATGCAAAGTTGGACCTGATATTCAGAAGATTGTTTTATTAATTGGCTGTTCAGTCGGTTCAAAAAGTATAAATATTTTTACCGGATTGAATTTTTGGCCAAATGACCCTGCTACAAAAATTTCAATTTCATTAATTATATGATCTCCACGTGTCCTTATAGGTATGTTTTTTCCTCAATATGTTATATTATTCTTGTAAACCAATATCTTTACAGGTACTGTATATTGTGTCTAAAGATGGCTGCTTGAGCCAAAACTAGTCACAAAAAGTAAAACTTTTGTAATTAAACTTTGTGGTCGACCGACTTAGTGTTTTGTTTTTTTTCTTAGTTAATATAAATAAACGTTATATGTACCCTTTTATAAGTGTATGACAAACTGCCAGTCCTGAACCGGGGCTGTATCGGACGATATTATCAATCATGTACCTGTATTCCTTTTGTTTTACGAAATCAAGTCTAACTAAATGCATTCTATAGCAAGACATTAAAGTAAACATCTTTACTTAAAAATATCTTTCAGAAATTTGCCGAGTATTTATTAAAAAGCCACGAATTTGAAATAGATACTTGATTCTCGATCCTACTTGAATTTTTGTCTATTTCGCTAGAGTAGACAATTATCATTAATTTACTGCAAAATTTGAAATAATCTTTGATGACGGCGGGGATCTAGATATAACCTGTTAAACAAATTCTCCGAGACATTAAGAAAATGAAGTATCTATTATCCAACAATTATTATTATGGATTATAGATATTTATGGTGGCTTGATATGATGAGATATCGCAAAATTTTGTTTTCAATTTCATGTTAATACCGGATGTCCCAAGTTATCGTATACAGACAAACTCGCTTATTTGACAAGATTTGTAGTATTATAGAAGATCTGTGGGTATCTATCGCATTGAATGGAGGAAAGAAAGTGTATATTAGATGCATTTACATACCACCGAAAGTAAGTTTGAATGACTTAATAATATTCTTTGAAAAACTGAGAACAATTATGAACAAAGTGGAACACAAAATTATTATAGTTGCAGATGTCAACATCCCTAATTTGAAATGGAAATCCGACCCCTCATTGCAATCTTTCTGCCCGACCAACGCTATAGATGCCATCAGTGAAATCTTTGTTGATAATATATCACTTCTTGAACTAAAACAGTATAGTAATATCTGCAATTCTTATGATAAATGTCTTGATTTAATCTTCACTAATTCATTAAAAACTGATGTAACAAGATGTAGCGACTCCTTTGTACCGAAGGACGCACACCATCCTGCACTTGATAGTACGTGTGAAGTATCGGAGATCAAGCTGATGATAAGTAACTCTTATGAAAAACTCAAGTTTCGAGATGCCGACTTTGATAGTATTAACAGTGAACTTCAGAAAATTAACTGGACACTATTTTATAAGAAAATTGATCATCTAATCAACATTTTCGTTCCTAAAGTTATGGTTAGAAAGTCTGAATTTCCGACATGGTTTTCAAAAGGCACCGTACAACTTTTGAAGAAAAAACAAAAATTGCATAATAAATAGAAAAACTATAAGAATCCTGATGACTATCAACGTTTCTCTAACTTACGCCAAATCACTAAGGTCAGAATGAAAAATGATTATACAAAATATATAAGAAAAACTGAAGATAACATGAAATCAGACTCTAAAGTATTCTGGTCTTTTCTGTCGAATAAACGTACTAATAAATCATTGCCCGCTTCAGTGAAACTTGAAAATGAAGCTGCATCTGATAATGAATCAATTCACATTCTTTTTTCAAGGTATTTTAGTCTGTTTATGGACCTTAATTCACCAAGCCAGATATTACACCTGTCCCAAACTGCTCCAATAACTTCTCAATAAATTTTATATCAAGGGAACAGATCTTGAATGCTATGGACCTGATAAAATTCCCGCACTTTTTCTTAAATCCTGTTGCTTGAATCTGTATTGACAAAGGAGTTATTTTTCCTAGTAAAATGTAGTCGCAATGCACATCAGCATGGATTTTATGGCAATAGATCAGTGCTAACTAACCTTTTGCCTTATGTACAAGAGATCTACAATGGAATGAGCGAAGGAGTTTCAACCTGTTCAGTGTACACTGATTTTTCTAAGGCTTTTGACAAAGTTCATCATCCAACTCTTGTCACAAAGCTCGAAAACTTTGGTGTGCATGGAAGCTTGTTTGGACTCCTGACCTCATACCTGAAAGATCGTTTTGTCAGTTTGTGGTGGTCAATGGAGTTCAATCATCCATTGAACTAGTCTCTTCTGGGGTACCTCAAGGGTCACACTTGAGACCTCTACTTTTTAATATATTTCTCAACGATATTGATGCATGTTTTCAACACACTAATATTCTATTGTACGCCGATGATATGAATATCTTTAAAAAAATAAAAAATGCCAGTACAATGATTTTCAAATCGATCTTGATAATTTCACGGACTAATGCAGAAAAAACAAACTCTTCTTGAACCTCGAAAAATGTGAACAAATATTATTCACGAGAGCACGCGACCCTATCCTCAGACATCTTTCGTTATCAGGGCAAAATTTCAATGTCGTAAACAAAATCAAAGACCTTGGAATCATTTTAGACTATGAGCTTCACTTCGATGTGCATATTGAAAATGCTATACAAAGAGCACAACGAAACTTGTTTTTCATTCTGAGGGCCACACAATCTTTCGAAAAATCAGAATCGATAATAATTTTATACAACTCGATTGTTAAATCAATTTTGGAATATGCTTCGACAATTTGAAACCCAATTTATGGTACTTATGTAGACAGGATCGAAAATATCCAACGGAAATTGATCAACAAACTAAACTATAAGTTCAATAGAAATCGTCACAACTTTTCGTATGAAAGCAATTTAAAATTTTATAAACCAACATTTACGTCAGAGAAGAGAGTTTTCCGATGTTAGTCTGATATAAAAACTATACAATAACATTATCGATTCCAGATACTGTCTTCACTATGTATCCATGAATTGTTCTCCTTATATCATTAGAAAT